ACACACACGCGCGCGCAAAAACTTACACATATATACATACACATATGTATATACACACAAACACTCACACACACACACACACACATACAGATTCGCAAACACATCAAACTAACATACCCCCCCCCTCCTAATGCACACATACGTACACACACACACACACACACACACACACACACACACACACACACAAACACAAACACACAAACACACACACACACAAACAATCAAACACTCATGCGTGCACACACGTATGCCGAGCAACAAACCTGCAGTGATGAACGGTCCAGAGCTATCACTCAGAGTACAACCTGCCGTCGTGCAGGAGTACAAGCGAACCCTAGCATTAGAAAACAAAAATGCTGCATCATAAATTCTGAAGTAAAAAGACGCGAGACCTTTACTAGACTTTAACCAAATTAATATAATTAGTCATTTTGTAAATCCGTGCCATTTACGAGAACAGCATAAGTACAGTAAGAACGTCGGAGGGACTCACAGAATGGTCCGAGATACCATCCGGAGTAAGACTAGGTTGTGTCCTATCACCACTACTATTTATCATATATAAGGATAGAATTACAAAAGAGGCCAACACAGAACCAGACACCCTAAATGAAGTACTCTTCGCTGATGACCAAAGCCGGGCACACAAAGATGAACTAAGTTTCCAACACCACACCACCAATTTAAAAGAAGAATGTAACAACTACGAAATGAAGATCAACATCAACAAAACAGAGACAAGGAAAGTAAGCAGTACGCCAGTACCACTCAGGATACACATCAACAACAACAGCCTCAGACAGGTCCAGGAATTAAAGTATCTCGGAAGTATATTCACAGAGGATGGGCGACTGGACAGAGAAATTTAAACACGAGTATAAAAGGCCAATAATGTTAGTTACAAGCCTGCTCCACTACTGAAACACCCTAATATCCCCATGACAACAAAACTCAAAATGATCAACACCATATTCATCCCAACACTCACCTATCAATGCCAAACATGGACCACGAACAAGACATTAGAGCAAATAAGTACAACATGTGAAATGCAATGCCTTAGAAAAGCAGTAAACAAGACCAAGCGAGACAAAATTAGAAACTCAGTAATCAGAGAAATGGGGGGCACAAATGATGTCATGCATCACATCCAACACCAAGGAATCAAATGGTTCGGACATCTCATTCGATTAACAACACACCATCCAGCACAACGTGCCTACAAAAAAAAATTCGATGGCAACAAGGGTAGAGGGCGACCGAGAAAGACCTGGATAGATGGAGTCACGGAAACATTAACCACCCACGGCATCCCCCTGACCCAAGCTCTCCGGCTGGCGACAGAGAGACGTCTCTTTCTTCCCGCGACACCCAAAAGGGTATAAGCGGCGGATAAAAGTAAAAGTAAAAAGTAATCATTTTATCTTATTAGTTAGGATCTTAGGAACTTGGGCATAATGCCCCCACCCACACACCCCGCCCTTTCTCCCCTAAAACAAGACACTTACAAAGACAGGCGCCATATGGAGAAAAATGGCGTTCCTTATTGCAATACACCCAATAAACACTCCAACCCCCTTCAGAGGCCAGACAAACTTCTTCCCTCCGTCGTGACCAGACTCAAACTCATCCTGACCCAACCGTCTTCCTCCTTCCCTCCTACCCTCTTCCTTTTCACCCACTCCCCTCTCTCTTCCTCTTTCTCCTCTTCATTCTCCTTCCCCACCTCCTCCTCTTCTCCTCCTCTCCCCCCAGCCCTCCTCCGTGGCAAGACTTAATCTTTTCTTTATCCAACCCTTCGCCCCCTTCCCTCTTCCTTTCCTCTTCCTTTCCTCCCCTTCCCTTCGTTCTTTCTCCTCCTCCTGCTCCTCACTGCAATGCATTGTCTCCGGTAAACTTTGATGGTAGAATGTGTCCCCTCTCTGCTACCCCCAACCCAATCTCAATTCAAATTGAAAAGACGGAGGATGAAGGGGAGAGAGAGAGAGAGAGAGAGAGAGAGAGAGAGAG